GGGGAAGGACCACGCTCTCACAGAATACCAGCGTAAAATAGCAGCTTAACACTGCTGTGCTTCGTATGTTGAGTATAGAGAATCGGAGACCCTTTTTACCATCTTATTCCTCACGGCTAAAAACGCATCTGCATTTTCATTAGCAAACGAAAATAGATGTAGATGTCCATGGGCCACAGCCACAGCAACCACTTACCATCAGGTGGACTGTGTGCTCGTTTGTTACCCTACCTATCCTATAAAAAAATTATTCTAAGAAAAATAAGTTCTCATGAGAAAGATTTATTAATGCCCTAAGTTTAGGCACTATAACTTATTTTATAACTCCTAAGCTATTATTACCACTTTTTCAACAGCACTTTAATTAGTTCTCCCCATAAATTGGCTCATAGGTCCCCCATATATTCGCCATAGTTACCACGCTTGGTAGGCTGGTTGGTAACTGCAGTTTCTTTATTTTCTAGTTGTTACTAGGATAACGCTGCTGCCCATCACATGTTTCAATTTCCCTCTGTCGGCTCTAACGACACCCACGAGACGATATGTGCAGTGGATATTCTTACACCGCCACTACACGGCACGGCATAATGGATTTTCTTACGGCGATTATGAATAGGATGCACTTACGTCAATTTTCATGATATCGTGTACAAGAAAGTGCGCCGAAAACATAAAATTAATGAAAACTTAAATAAAAATAAATATGTGTTTAATCTGCTAACCTCTCGCTGTAAATTAATTACATAAGGTAAAGTAAAATTTATTTATTTTATTTATTATATTTTATTGTTTGTTTGAAAAAAACGTTAACCCACACTAGGATTTTTTCCTGTATCGTGGAGGTAGTTTACAAACATAAATTGCACAAGGACAAACATCCAGACCCGGAACAATTATTTGTGGGCCATGCAAATACTTGTTCCGTGTGGGATTCGAACCCGCGGTCCCCAGCGCAGAAACTCATTACTACGAGTAAGCCACTGCGCCACCGCAACGTCAAATATTAATTTTTCTTCAATAATAATTAATTAATTGTACTTTATGTATTTAATCGCACTTTGATTTTACTTTGTACACGTTCTACATAACGCACTTGAAAACAAACTGAAATGACAGTTTGACAGTCCCACTTATACCTTGCGCGCTGTATTGAATTACCGTTATACATATAAGTATTTCTTCTCTATATGAGCGTTTCGTCACTGAACTCCTCGTAAACGGCTGTGCCAGTTTTGATGAAATTTTTTACATGTGTTTGAGTGGGTTCCTGGATGATTTAGATTCACAATTGGATCTGGTAGGAGGCGCTGTGATCGAGATCTAGAAATCACACGTGTAAAGCCGGTTCGAATCGTTAGTTAATAATAAAAAACGGCATTGATTTTATTGTTAGTAAAAATATATAGCATCCGCTCCTTCGTCACAACTTTGTTTTTCAGTATGTCGCCCGAAATTTTATATCGTCTATTAATGTAAGTAAGTGACGTCAATACTAAAATATATCGCATCCAGACGTAATAACAAACGTAATACAAAGACGTAATAAGCATAACTATGTATATTTTGCTCATCGATTTGTTTCCCTCTGTCGCCTCTTACGACACCCACGGAATGGTATGGGGTAGTAGATATTCTTACACGGTAAACCCAACCCAACCCACTTACCTAGCGTGGCATCTATAGCAAATATTCCCCCTATGAGGCAATATATGGGGGAGGCCTATGTTCAGCAGTGGACTTTTATAGGCTGTAATGGATCGATATATAGAAGATAATCTACCAGGAGCACATGATCCACTGAGATCTGAAATTATTAAATCAACAGTAACATTACAACTATGGCAAATATCCCTCTTTGAGGCAATCTATGGGGGAGGCCTATGTTCAGTAGTGGATTTTTATAGGCTGTAATGGATCGATTTATAGAAGATAATCTACCAGGAGCACATGACGTACTGAGAGATGAAATTATTAAATCTTTAATAGGTTGTAACGGTAAGGTAACAAGGTATTATACAGAGATACATAGCACACAGAAGCCAATTAATCGCAAACCAAGTATTCCGCCACCATCACGTTATGTATAGTGGTCGTAAACTCGACACTACTGCTGGTCATATGATCCTGGATTGGACCAAAAATCAGTTATGGAGTTTTTCTGTCAAGAAATTCTTATTAGCAATCCGAAGTCAAGAAGTTCGCGTTGTTTCGCCCTCGTGCCCCGGAAAGTACGTAAAGCCGTTGGTCCTGTGCCTGATCTCCCTCTGATCGTCTTTGATTATCCTCCCATCGGACTATAAGCATCGATATATATGTACTACGTACTAGATTTCGCATTCCATAAATTGACTATGTTCAACTGAACTGTACTGCCATCCGTACACAATTGAAGATTTGTGGATTCCATGATTATATTACATTTTATTTAGAAATATATTTGTTTAGATTAAATTAAGAGTATTTTATATGTATAAAATTCTTATATTTATTTTCTATTAATATCTTATTTTATATTAAATTAGGCTTGGCGCATGAGCGACTCTACTATCTCCCGCGCATACGCAAAGACATAGAGTAGCGCACAATTTTTATTTGGAATAGCTTCTCTAGTACGTACTACATATAACTCAATAACTATAAGACAGAAGGAATATAGAGAGCACTTGCATAATCCTGTCCAGCGCAGATGGCTAGTCTCTGTTGAGACCGGCCGCTGTGACCGAATTTCAGTCTGCAGGACATTATTATTATTATATCTGTTTCTTTGAATAAAACTATTTTTACGGATTTTATCGCGTTTCATTAACTTATTTTATATTCCCTACGTTTCGGTTGCTTTCCAGCAACCGTGGTCACGGGGGACTGAGGTGATTGACGTCCCGATGTCAAAGTTAACCCGGAGTACCTTCAGCTTTTTAATTATTAATTTTGGTCCGATCTACGCAGAATGAACTAACTGTGTCTTGAAGTCTTGCAGTGGTATGCTTGGGTTTAGTTTTAATTTTATGAATCACAGGATCCCAAGCAGGTGGTAGTACCCAGCCTCCCTCTCTATTGAAATTAGGATGTTTTTTAATTTCAATAGCCTCACGTATCATCCTTGGTAGGAATCGATGTTCTTTCGCGAGGACTTGTGGTTTATCAAATCTAATGTAATGGCGGGGGCCATTACATTAGATTTGATAAACCACAAGTCCTCGCGTAGATCGGACCAAAATTAATAATTAAAAAGCTGAAGGTACTCCGGGTTAACTTTAACATCGGGACGTCAATCACCTCAGTCCCCCGTGACCACGGTTGCTGGAAAGCAACCGAAACGTCGGGAATATAAAATAAGTTAATTAAACGTGATAAAATCCGTAAAAATAGTTTTATTCAATGTGTAGTGTTCGCGTAAATATAAGAAATCATTATATCTGTTTCTATAAAAATAATAGAAAAAAAGACTACTCCTGGGCGTCATTTATCAATTATAACTTTACCTGCCTACCTGCTCTTTTTAACAAGCGGATGATACCGGTTGGTAATTAACTAGATATTCGTTTTTATCCATATCATACCGGTGTCGTAAGAAGTGACGTAGGGAAGCACACTAGAAGATGGACAGCACCGTCTTCCTAATAAATACTAGACAATAAAAATCTACGTTGCCAACTTGCCTGCCAAGCGTGTCAACTATAACAGAAAAGGGTGAACCTAGGAGGCAATCTATTGTGGAGGCAAATATTGGGTAGTTGGCTTTTAATAGGCTGTTACGGTAACGGTAATCCTCTCCATCAGCCAGCAACATGGGTAACTGCAGATTGAGGGAAGTTTTGCCATAATCACCATAGATTGGCGATCGGATTGCTAGACGTCCCACATCTTTGATATTGCTCACCATCGCTAGTCTTGGTATTTTACGTCTGGCGTTAAAGAAACGGTTGTACCACCATCTATCTGAAGCCATTAGATTTTTCTGGCATTTTCCACAGTCGACATACACACAAGTTCTCATCGCCCAGAACTTTGAACAATACCAGTTAGCCGTCAAAGCCAGAGCCCGACACCTGTACACTATTGGTACACTCAAAACTTGTATAGGTGAACATAGTTACGAGAGTAACGCTAGAATGAGGGCATCCACGACTTTTTGCCACCAAGGCGGCGTCACTAGAAAGTGAGGTATATATTTGATAGATTTCATAGCGGGGAAGTTAATTTGTTCGGAAAATTTAAAGGTTATTGTTTCTTTCTGTACTATTAGCTATATTTTATATTAATAATAAATAAACCAAACCACAGATATTCCTCAACGTAGAAAAATTAAAAAAAAGTTAAAAATGTGCAAAAAATTAAAGAGCAAACCACTGACGCATTGTTTTGTGTATTAATATAATACTCTATAAACTGATAAACTTTTATTAAAAAACAACTTCTCATTTAAATTACATTGCGTAACAAAAAACTTTACCTCAGTGTCAACTAGCGACATCTGCCATCATCTCATTAATTGCCATCGTCATCGTCAGCATCAGTCCCCGTCCTTGAAGCTAACCTTGAGTCTAACGAAGCTGTAAAAGTCAACTGGTTAACAGCACTAACATTACAGAAACTAGACGAGATAGCGCAGACTCGAGTAATTTTATCATACTCACTAAAAGAACGCCAGCAAAAGGACTTCTTTTATAAAATAATAACACACCACAGTCCACGTGATGGTAGTGGATACTATGGCCTATCTACATTTAACCTCGAAATAATCAATATTTAGATGTGTTGTCTACCTTGAGGACTGAGATAGAATGCCTCGTTTGCAGTAAAAATGGTTTCCGGTTCTAACTCACCATACGAAACACGGGGCATTGAGCTACTATTTTACACAGGTACTCTGTGAGAGCGTGGTCCTTCCCTTGTCGAGCCGATCCATTCGTGCTACAACCATAACATAGCTTCATCGTGGCTCTAACACGTAAAACAAAATTGATACAATATATGTAAACAGTGTATTTCTTATGCAGCGTGCGTGGAAGAAGGATGTACGGACTGGGAGGGCAAATCTGTAGCACATGGATTGCTATACGTGCCCGGACCTGGCGCCTGTTCACTGTGTGTCTGCTATCACGCCGAGCCTATGTGGTGTAAGGCCATATACTGTGATCCACCATATGTGAGTAATATATTCCTTTATTTGAAATTATTTTTGGCCGACCTAGAAGAGGAAGGTTTTTAATTCGATGTGATATTTTAATCGATTATAAACTGATTTTAATGATTCTTTTTTTATTAAATGGGTTATGCTTCTGTATAAATAAGACCTTTGATAAAAAGACCCTTTTTACTGGAAACAAGGCATTCCATCTTAGTCCTCACGGGTGACAACGCATCTGCATTTTGACTCGTAATCCAGGATAGATGTAGATGTCCATGGGCCACAGCAACCACTTACCATCAGGTGGACTGTGTGCTCGTTTGTCACCCTAATTCTATAAAAAAAAAGTAAAACCGATATCAAAGAACTAAAAATTGCATATTAATTTCCCTATAACAGCGGAAAGAACTAAAAAGAATAAGATAATGTCCACATAACCTTCTAACCCATAGTGTATAGAAGAACCTATTGAAGCCCTAATTTCAGACTCTATTATGTGGTACAATATCATTTTTAACCCCCGACGAAATCAGAGGGGTGTTATGTGTTTGTAGTGTCTATCTGTGTATCTGTGTGTCTGTCTCATAGTTCATAGTTCCAGACCGGATGAACCGGTTTCGATTAAGTTTTTTCGTTTTAAATGTGTCTTAATGGAGAGTATTCGTAGCTACGAGTATGTTTCAAGGTAATTTAAAATTAAAAATTTTGTACAACCCTCAAAATGACTTCTATATATAAATTATTAAGAATAACTCAAAAACTATTGATCAAACCTTTATCAATATGTTTATATGGGACCACATGTGAACCAGCTTTCAAGTAAAAAAAGAATCATCGAAATCGGTTCATGCAGTAAAAAGTTATGAGGTAACAAACATAAAAAAACACAGTCGAATTGAGTACCGGCTACTTTTTGAAGTCGGAAGAAAATCATTTTTATAATACTTAATTAACTATTTTAACTCGGGTTTTACTTTTTATAAAAACCCTAATTTAATAATTTAAAACTTTTTCGTTTAAAAAATTTACTCTGAGTTTAATAATTGGAACTGTAATATTATTTTTTTTTCATATTTCTTGTACTCGTGTTTATCCTATTTATCCTAGCCTACCATCTTGTGATTTTTATTTGATCTATAATTAAGTACGACCTCTTCTTTATTCTTTTTGATCAACAGTTCTTTGCGTAATAAGGTTGTCAGAAATCGTTTCCAAAGAGATAAGACCGTTTGTAATTTCTTCTATCTATAAATATTTTTATTTTATTATCTATGGTACATATATAATAAAATTATATATATATATATATATATATATATATATATATATATATATATATATATAATGTGTAATAAATTTGTAGAAAAATTATGTATTCACGGTTCACGCAATAACTACTGGACCGATTTCCACATAGTAACATATAGGTAACTTTTTATCCACTTACGGAGGAGTAAAACAAAGGGTTGTTTTTCCATTTTTTTTAGTTTATTGTAATAAGGGCTGCTGATGGTTCTATTAGTCCTAGAGAGGATTTAGCTATACATATAACAAGTCTATAGAAATGTGTGTGTGTGTGTGTGTGTGTGTGTTTGTGTGGTTGTGTGTGCGTGCGTGCGTGTGTGTGTGTGTGTGTGTGTGCGCGTGTGTGCGTGTGTGTGTGTGCACGCGCGCACGTGTGTGTGTGTGTGTGTGTGTGTGTGTGTGTGTGTGTGTGTGTGTGTGTGTGTGTGCGCGCGTGCGTGTGTGAAAATAAACTCATATCGCCACCAGACAGAAAGGGCAAACAACGTCTGCCGGGTGCTCTAGTTGTCATAATATTTCAAGTTTTAGTTGTCAAGGAGCTATAAATTGCTTTAAAATAAAGAATATCTACATTGATTGATTGAAATTTATATACTGGTTACTCAATACTACCTAGTATCGCTGGTATCGCTAGGTGCTAGGTTTCCTTTTGCCTAGGAGTGCGTCTAAGTAGGTACAACCCTCGTTAACTATTTCTGCCGCCAATTAGCAGAGCTTCCATTGCTTTGTTCCGGTCTGAGTATATGAAGCTAGTATGATTGCAGGCTATGAGGCATTCCATCTTGGTCCTCAGAGTTGACAACGCATCTGTAGCCATATGTGTTTAAAGTTATTTTGCCGTGGTAGAGCCATTCTGCAGCTATATTGTGGTTGCAACACGAATAGGTTTACTCGACCGGGGAAGGACCACGTTCTCACAGAATACCAGCGTAATATAGCAGCTTAATGCTGCTGCGTTTCGCATGGTGAGTGTAGAGAACCGGAGACCCTTTTTACTGGAAACGAGGCATTTCATCTTAGTCCTCACGGGTGACAACGCATCTGCATTTTGACTCTTAATTGAGGATAAATGTAGATGTCCATGGGCCACAGCATCCAGTTACTATCAGGTGGACTGTGTGCTCGTTTGTCATCCTTATATTATAAAAGAAAACTAAGAGGAAACCACATGACTGGACCAAGGTGTAGGGCCGGCCCGAGGTGGCCATTCCGAGTGGGCTTTGCGAGTCCACTTCGGATGTGTATTAGGGGGCTGCGGCGAGAGGGGTGCCCTCTCCCACAGCCGAGGTGGAGTTGCGGATGAAGAGGAGTGTTGGTATGGCGATACGCCACTTGCCCTATTCTCCACGACTCGGACGGGGCCGCACCGTTGATTGATACGGTGGTGGTGGGGCTGGAGGGCGCACCATGTGTGCTGGTCAGGGTCTGATTTACCCACAAGCTAACTAGGCTGGACCCTAGGGCGCATGGTTTGAGGGAGCGCTGAGCCTTTGCAAGCACACTTATGCACAGAATAAAATTTGGTATTATATTCTCAATAAATAATGCCGCAAGGTATTTTACTTGTTGTTCTTTTGTCTTTCGTCTTTCATTGACTAACTGGACGTGATTCAAAGATTTTAAACTACTCAAGCTCTCTTTTTTTACCGCTAATTTTATTAAGGTGCTTTGCCAAGGCTGTCCAAAGGAAATTCGATCAGCCATCTCTGCACAGGGAGAACAGCTCACTGGCCCATGCCGCAAAGCAGAAAGTCGATCTAAAAGATCGACTTTCTCCTTTTTGAGACCAACTCTACTCTCGATGACGGGGGATACATACCGTCGAACATCACACGATGTGATTGCTCCATGCTGGATGTGCGGTTTACACAGCGCTCTGTGTGCAAAGTAAACAAAAAACGCTAGACGTCAACAAATCGTGTGGGCCTGATGGAGTGCCTTCCTATAGTGCTGAAGACGGGTGTTCCAAAGTTGCACTGATTCTAACGCGTCTTTTCCGGTACTTATATACCCTAAGCGTAATCCTGAACTTATGGAATAGTTTTAGTGTACCCAACCCCTAAAATGGCGACCGCTCGAATCCGTCCAACTACAGGCTTATCACCATCGCCTCCTTGTCTTACAAAATAATGGAATACATTATATACTACCAGCTCATAAGGTACCTTGGGAACAACCAGCTGATTAGTGGCCGCCAATCCGCCGATGTCACTAATCAGCTTCCCGAGAAATTTCGCTATTGGATCATCACTTTTCTTGCAAATCGGAACATCAAGGTCGTAGTAGACAGTGCATATGATTTGTATGTTGCTATTACTTGTTGTAACACTGGTAGTGCTTTTTACATCGGCCGTGCTAATATTTCATGGGAACACGTCATCGAGTATCGGAACAAACTTGTGTCTGAAGCGAAGTCTTTAATAAACAAAATCTAGGATTGTGAACTACTCTAGTCCAGTTAAAACTTCAAAAGACATAGGTTTGCACGTATATAGTTCTCATTCGTTTCCAGTATAAAGAGTCTCCGGTTCTCTACACTCACCATACAAAACACAGCAACAATGAGCTGCTATTATATGCTGGTATCCTGTGAGAGCGTGGTCCTTCCCTGGTCGAGCCGACCCATTCCTGCTACAACTATATATCTGCAGCATGGCTCTGCCACTTATGAAAACCTTATATAGAACTGTTCGCATTTATCGCAAACTTTGTCAAACAAAAGTATTTCATGATTACACGACCGACTTTCATATCGAACGGTTGCAAGGACTGCTTGGCTATTAATTATTTATAGACTTCATTTGCAAAAGCTTATTTCATATTTCCAATAATCTCATATGGAGTGCTCGTTTATCGATGAATACATTCATTCATTTTGTACAGCCCATCACAAGTACACAACTGATCATAGGCTTCTTCTATAAATAGCCCCAGGATATTTGACATAGCTACCACGCTTGGCGAACGCAGTTTTTTTTATTATTATTGAATTGTTACGTTATTATAGAGGCGGTGTCAGAATCGTACATACTTGGTAGAGCCACTCTAAAGCTATATTGTGGTTGTAGCACGAATGAGTCGGCTCAACTACCACCACGCTTTTACAAAATACCAGGGTAAAATAGCAACTTAATGCTGATGTGTTTCGTATGGTGAATGTAGAGAACCGGAGATCCTTTTTACTGGTAACAAGGCATTCCATCTCAGTCCTCAGGGGTGACAACGAATCCGCATTTTAATTCTTAAACGCGGATAAATGTAGATGTATATGGGCCACAGCATCCACTTACCATCAGGTGGACTTTGCACTCGTTTGTCACCCTTATTCTATTTAAAAAAATATAATGTTTGCGCGCTGTCACCATTTGTCGATTTGGCGTCACTTGCTAGTATGACACTTTGGCCCGTTGTACGAAATACAGAGTGGAGTAAGTTCTCAATTTGTCGAAATATTTATTTTATGTATTTTGAGCGATAATTCTTTGTTGTTTACCAGGTTGTCTGATATCAATTATATTTGTTAAATAAAAAGGCAGTACATTTGGAGTAGTCCCATACAAATTTGCTCAAAGTCTGACGATAGGATAATTAAACTCTTTAATTTGAAATGCCTCTATAAGACATACGAATAGTTTTTAACTACATCCACCGATTTTTAGTTCTTAAAAAGTTAAGTTTTTACATTTGTGAAAGTTTAAAATAGTAAATAATTTTACTTTAATAATTAAAAATTTTGTACAACCGAAAGTAAAGTAAAGTTACAGCCTATTTACATCCCACTGCTGAGCACAGACCTCCTCTCATTTCTGAGAGGGTTTTAGGACAAGGAAATGTCCGCCGCGCTGCCCCAATGCGTGTTGGCGAACTTCACATATCTTCGAAATATTTTTTTTCTTATTTCTCAGACATGCAGGTTTCCTCACGATGTTTTCCTTCACCGCCGAGCACGTGGTAAATCAGCACTTAAAATTGCAATTAACAATTTCGTTGGTGCCGGCGGGGATCGTACCCGGGTTGCTCGAGTACTCTGAAGCTTACAGCGAGTGCTAACCATCTGAGCTACCACGGCTCAACCGACTTCAATATAAATTATTAAGAATAACTCAATAACAATTGGTCAGACCTTCATCAAATTTATATGAGACCACATGTGAAGCACCAGCTTTCAAATAAAGAAAGAATAATCGAAATCGGTTCACCCAGTAAAAAGTTATGAGGTAACACACACAAAAAACATACACTTGAATTGAGTACCGTCTCCTTTTTGACGTCGGTAGAAAAATAGTCGCCTAAGGTTAAACGGATTAAAAAATTAATCACCCAACTTAATCCCGTGGGTGTCGGGATCAAACCCGGGTTGCTCGTGTTTTACGGCAAGCGCTTTGCTTCTGACTTCTCACGGTTCTTCAATGTATTTAAAGTATGTTAACATGAAACTGTGTAGTGTCGGTGCAAGAATACACCTACCCCATATCATCCCGTGGGATTCGTAAAAGGCGACTGAGGAAAATAAATCAAGAGATCGGTAGCAGCGTCTTCTTAATAACAACTGAAAATAAGAAATGCGGTTGCCAACCCGCTTGCCAAGCGTGCCAATCTATAGGGGATCCCTGTGTTCAGCAATGGACTTTAATAGGCTGTAACGGTAACGTGAAATTTATACAACTAATTCTGTCTGTCAACAGTTCTGTAAAAACTTCCGCGTCGGCGAGCGGTGCTGCGAGTTCGAATGCCTCGACCCTCCTGGCGAGGACACGCGCTATCGTGAGCGACAACGACTGCGCGCCCTCATCCTGGCCGGCAACTCCTCCGCACCGCACTTGACGCCTTCACTCCAGCTCAAGGCCGGGATCTCATTACTTGCGGTCGCAATGGCTAGACTCGTATGAAACCTAGATTTACGTTAATACAAACAACGAGGTCGAGTATTGCCCATCCTGTGCTGTGACGTGGGAGAAGTTTGAGACAATAATTTGGATATCATCATGTTCAAGATAAAGAATGGAACTCTTTATTTACGTTCTGATTTACTGACTGGTTCCAAACAACGTGGTCTTCGACTGTGAATCGCTATAGTTTATATGTTGTGTTTAGTAAATTAAAGGCATAAATATTATGTATGTATAATACTTACTTCTATATGACAAACATTATATAAGGATGATACTTTAATCTACATGAATGAATTGAATGATCCACGACTTTTTCTGCCATCAGAGCCGCGCCACTTTGGATTGAGGTGAAATATTTGACAGATTTCATAACGGGGGAAGTATTTTTATTAGAAATGTATCGATAATAATGTTTTTTTTTTCTGAAATATTATATATATTTTATATTAATTGCAATATAAATAGATTAACTAAACTTCGGGTACTCCTAAAGTAGAAGAATTAAAATCTAACTAACTTAATGACGTTAATTTAAAAAAAAATAACGTCATTAATTTAGTTCAAATGTGTAAACAAATTAAAGAATACAGCACTGAGGCATTGTTTTGTGTATACAAACAAACAAAAAACTTTTTTTTAAAACGCAACTTTTCAATGATGATGTCCTTCTGCGTAACAAGTAAGTTCACCTCAGTCCCTACTAGCGACATCTTGTGAGCGTAAGAATATTATGCCTCATTATTTAAATTTTTAACGTATCGTCTGATTGGAACAGATAGAGAGAGTTATATGAATCGTTGTGAGAAATGCAAGTGACCGACCAATCTAGCGGGTGAGATATTACGACCACAGACCAATTTATCTACAATACAGTTAGATTAGTGAATGGGATTTACGATAGTGAAATGGTCGTCGTGTCTAGATGTAAAATATAATATTAATTATATTTCCCTCGTACACTTCTAAGTATTTCATACTCTCCAAAATCCAAATGCCAAATTTTACTCTAATACTCTTGCAGCATTACGTACTCGTAGGTCAAACTTGTATGATAAGTCCAATTTGCCTATTTAAAAATATTTTCAGAAATCAAGCTTAACAAAAATTATTACTATTTAAAGCTATTCTTGAGCATTTCCAATTATAATCAATTTAAGGTTCAAACATTTAACACTTGTTGTTTCGAAGCATTATGAAATACTTTAAATTTAAAAGTGTTAAATGTTTTGGAATGCATTTTCTTTTATATACGACACTATACTGCTTGGAGAAATTATTATACAAATATAAAATGGCAGTAATGAAACATTAAAAAAACTTGTACATCTTGTATTTATTTTTTAAGCTTTATTTACAAAATGATTTTTAAATAAAATCCAACTAGAACGAATAAATAAGAGTAATCCTATTGTATTTAAATTAATTATGATTTTATAAGCAAAAAATACATTTGTTTAAGTAACTTCATAACACAACGCACTTTAGCTAGTGAATGACAATATAAAACACTTAAATATTATGTAAATATTACTCGAGTTCAACGTAAGCGACTTACACACGGTCCATCTTGCTGTACTTCTAGATAAACCATATGCATATGCCAGGATTTGTCCTGATATGTGAGGAATTTAAGGTTCTTGTTAGGATTGCGGTCGGATTTTGAAAAGGTCAGGGTTTTTTATTTTTCAATAAAATATAGTAACTTTTTTGCGTGCGAGGGGGTATAATCTGTGACGTAGATTGTTCGCGAGAATGCTTGTACTTATTAATTACGTTTGCAAAAAGAAAAGGCAGGACTTTTCTATGGAAATAATGTTATTTGTCAGGACTTTTTAATTTTCTATCTGCTAACCCTGTATCATACTTACATCTTACGACGGTCATGTCCATCTTTTTGTACGTCCCACCATGGATGGTCATGCACTACTCAAAACTACAATGAGTAGGCTTGACGTACGTAAATTTCAAGTAATTAATAATACTGAAGTCCTTCTCATTATCGTTTCGCAGCGTGCATCGTTGGACGTACAGCAAGACGGACAGTGTGTAAGGCACTTAATAGGTTTCGCTTTCCCACGCTAGGTCCCGCGTGATATAAAACAGATAATAATTAGTTTTTGAATGTAATTCTGGACCAATTTTTTGTAACAAGTAGCGACAGCATTAGTTATTTACGAAAATCTTTATGACAACAAATAATTTCTTGGTTAATTTAAATATTGCATAATATTTGTTAATCACGATGTTCTACATTATCATATCATGAAGAACATCAGAGGCTTGAAAATATTAACGCAAAGTTTAAAAATAAAAGAAAAAGAGCACATGCATCCCATATTTCAAGTCTGAATGCTATACTTTTGAGACACTTTTTAACAGCGATGGTTTGTCAAACGCTACATCCATTAGCTGATTGCCTCTGTTTTGTATTAATCCAAATTTATGTAGGCCCAAAATGTTCAAAAATGGAACAATATTTTTCTGGTTGCATTTGTGTCCACGGACTCCAAAAGTCATAACCTATATGATCATCTATACAATTAAAAAAAAATTGAAGTGTCTGTTTGTAATATTAAAATAACGGTTTTTTTACAAGTAAAAGTGTGAAATTATAAACGGAACTTATAATAAAAAAAAACTATTTGTAAATTATTATCTGTCTGTCTATCTGTTTGTTCCGGCTAATCTCCGAAACGGCTGGACCAATTGTGACAGGACTTTCACTGGCAGATAGTCAATGTTATAAGAAATAACTAAGCCTAATTTTATTTTAGAATAACAATTAGGGTTCCACGTAAAAAAACTAAAACCCATGAAATCCAATCGTAAACAATTACACGCGGGTGAAGTCGCGGGTAAAAGCTAGAATCCCCATAAAACTATTAATTTATTAATTACGCATTTTAAATTGTAGCTTTAACCTTTAAAAAACTAGATCATATCGTCGGCTGTTTAGAATAAAAGTAGTGTAAAAGTGCAAACACTAGTAATTTAGTATTTATAAATTATATCATAGGTTAGAATTTATAAAATATAGAATTAAATACTTCTATGTATAGTACTGGACCACCATTTCATAACAAAAACATGCGTGAGTGTCGTGGAACAGTCGGTCGGAACGAAGTTCCTTTCGTAGTATATTATTATTTATAAACGTATTATCTTATTGATTAACAAATACAAATAAATGAATTACTAGCGTCTATTAAAATGAAGCGTCATTTGAAATTAAGTAACATTTCTTTCATGGCAGTACAAGAAAATGTGCGAGGGAGATAGATATTATTCCATCTCACTTCCTTATTTCGCCGCCAAGGCCGTCTACACTATGACACAAGGTAGTGACCGAAAAAATCTTACACTTTTTGTCGTCTAGCTCCAATCCGCCAAATCCATACCGTCCGATAAGGAACGTCGTTCCAAAATTACGTCACAGCTGTGGATCGCGCGGACGACAGCTAGGCGAGTAGCTGGCACGGTAATAGTGCCTCGCAGTTGTATTTTCATTTACGGCCGTTACTGTTTTAGACAAATACGAAATAAAGTTACATACTTATCTGATATAAACTTCAAATCACGTGGACAAAGTCCGCACATAAATTATAAAACCGTTTTTTCTTAGTCACATTTTTTTAATAGTATTAGTGTGAAAAACGAGCACACAGTCCACCAGGTAAGTGGATTCTGTGACCCATAGACATCTACATTTATCCTCGATTAAGAATCAAAATGCAGATGCTATTTAGTAAAAAGGGTCTCCAGTTTCTTTCTATTCAACATATGAAACACAGGAGGTTTAAGATGCTTTTTAACACTGGTATTCTGTGAGAGCATAGTCCTTCCCCAGTCGAGCGGACCCATTCGTGCTACATCCATAATACAGCTACAGCGAGGCTTTACCACGTAGAAAACATAAAACAAAATCAGTGTTCGATTGTCGAAATCAACGTTCGCGGTTCACAAAACTAGTTAGTTTTCTCGTCCGCCCGCAATCGACTAAAGGGGTTACGGAGAATTGACCGTAACTTAGTGCGCAATGTACTAAGGCCGCAGAGTCCGTTTAGTAGTATGCATAGAAGTCTTTGGTTAGAATAAAATATTTACACCTTTACGCGCGTACGTATGCGGTTTTAAATATATCTAAGTATATTTTTATCTAAATATATTTTTTTTGATTTCATATAAATCAAGCGACATTATCATAAGTCTATTACCAAAGACTACAAATTCTATACACGCTTAAATTCTATTTTACCTTTTCTTGCTTACTAAAACTTCACAGGGGGAATAAACATTAATTTCTTGTAATGAAAACAACTTCTACTGTCGTGAAAGTCATGTTTCCCTGTCACGCAAATTGTACTAAGGCAGGGTAATGATTTTTGTCTTTATTTTTTAATAGCTGCCCGTAGTTTTGATTATATCTAAGTACTACTCGTATGTCGTGTATTATATTATTCTAACAACATTAGGTACTTCATTTTATTACCAAAATTCACAAAAGAGGAAATTTACGAATAGATTTTCTTTTTAATGTTTTTTTCGATATATTTGTCAATTGAAAAATTATTTTAGTGATTGTTTATTTTTTAATTAAAAAAACATAACTTAAGCTCTCATGCCTATATCACCCTGAGGGGTAGGCAGAGAATATGGACTTCCATTTTTTTATTAGATAGGTTAAATTTAATCCAAATTACAATTGTATAAAATAGTAACTGAATGGGAAGCTAATAGCAAAAACAAATCACTTCAAGAGTGGTTCCATATAAATTTGGAAAAAAAAATACCACAAAAAACACCTAAGGATGGAAAATAGGGATTGCAGTTTTTAATGTAAGACGACATTTTATTTGTTATCTTGAGATTATATTCCTTAGTCCACTCAAAAGGGTAAAAAAACGTAAGTTAAAAAACGACTTCAAAGAGATAAAAAAAACAATTGCACATGATATCTTCAGAAGTCAGTGTTATAAAGCCGCATATCCACCAAAAAT